AGGCCAGGGAATTACGATTGTTTCGCATATAGTTCTGATTCAGTTGGTCGTTTCTTGACAGGAGAATTGGATTGCACGATTTCTTGGCGAAGCCCGGAGGAGGATGATCGCTCGTCGGCCGTCTTGGCGAAGCCCTCCGTTGCTCCGTCACCCAGCTTCGCGCCAGAAGACGCCCTTTACCCCCTCCTTCCTCGCCGACAAGAAATCGGTGCGTTTCTTTTTCCCCTTCCATTTTGATCCTTCGATGCAATAGCTTTAGGGTTTCGATCTTAGTAGAGCTTAGTATGTCTAGGATTAGCTTGACTCAGAATCAATTAGTCCAACTGTAAACCCCTAACAATTTTAAATTTCAAATAATTCTAAAAATAATTAGGAATCAGAAATATTTCATCCCTTTTTTATTTGATTTGGATTATTAGATCTTCCCTAGAGCAGATTTAAACCTAAACTCAATCTTCTAAATTAGAAAATAGATAAGATTTGATTAATTAACAATAATTTTAAAATTATGATAACTAAAGTCATAAATCTATTGAACCCCTTCCCGTAGCCTTCTCTATTCATGATAGTAGCGTGAGACGCTAGTTCTAGTGGAAAGACACGAGACAATTATCAGAGAGATAGGCTCTTGGACTTTTTCATTTTTTAATAACATGTAAATTTTATATTTTTCATGATTAAAGGATGCATAAACCAGTTTATAATTATTTTTCAATCGTTACATTAGATCTGTCCACATGAAAATCTTATTTAATCATGATTAGAAGTTTTGGTTCTAATGATTTGACATTTTTATTCTATTCTCCATTTTTTATAAATACTTCCTAGCTTTTTAAATAGAATTTTCATGAGTTATATATATTTTTACATGAATTGTTACACTTTCGATTCATAAAAGCAGCTTTTAATTTTTGTTTGATTATGTTTTAATTTAAATAAATTGTACTACATGATTAGAACATTAGTATGTTGATTTTGTAATTTTTAAAAATAAGAATTATTTTAAATTCTAAGTATATTTATGAAAACAAAATAAAAAATCAGAATTAAAATAGGAGTTAGATCATCAATCAGACTTGGTGGCTTGCATAGTGTTTAACTTGGTTTGGGTTTTTGACCCACCTTGACTTGCAGCTCGACCCGATGTGGTGCGGAGCTCGTGACATGGGTCAATCCAACCCTGTTTGGTGCAGCTTGAATTGGCCTACCTTTTGTGGTCCAACGCTGACACCTGATCTTGGTTTTAAAACTCGATTCCACTTCCTAAATTTTGTGAACCAGGACCGAACAACATATGATCGATTTTGGAATCGGAATCACAACCGACAATTCCAGTTTTGATTCGAACCATTGATTTTTTTTTTATTAAAAATATATTTTTAAAAAAAAGTAAAAAAAGGATAATTTTTAAATTTGATGTATTTCAATGCATGTAATGAGTCTAATTATATTAAAAATTGATATAAAATTATAAAATCATTAATCGTTGCCCGCATCGAATGTCTGGTTAATATGGCATATAGTGGTCATGTAGGATAATGACTATTTTTTTTATTTCTCTTATTTTTCACTAATATTAATATCTGATCCTACACTTTCATGATAAGTAATCAAATAATTGTTTAAACCATCTATTCGAAAATTGGGATAAAAAACAAAAGCGACAAGGTAAATAAGTGGAATCAACTAAAAAATACATGAACAGTAGGATAATAAACACCATACAATGTATAAGTAGCATTATTAAAAATTTTTAAAATTTCTGAATTTTTGCACAAATAGTCAGTCATACATTGTTTGCAATAAATATACATAATAATTTTTTTTTATATTTAAAATTTTGTATTAGACAATTCATAAGTTGAATTCCATCTAGTAGGAATGACCACACAAAATTTTAACGTCTTTTGCCATTTAATTTATGATTACAAGTGATTATAAATAATGAATGGTCTAAAGTTGCGCTAAAAAAAATGATTTAAGCTACACCAGGGCAATGCATTATTATGATCATAATATTACCCCACCATGGTTGTACGAAAGGAGGCTATTAATTAATACTAATCTTCTATTGACAAGAAAAATCATGGAAGTTTTAACGAAACCATTCCTAAAATTCATTCTCATAGAATACCAATGACCATATATGGCAGATTAGTTTGAGCAATTAATTATGTTTTTATTTCCATATTTATTAATAGATATTTCTTGTAACATTTTATAAAATTGGAGTTATTTCTTGACATAAATATAGTATTATTCTAAGTGAAAAATAATAAGATGATGTATTTAATGTATTTAAAGCTAAATAAAATAGTTGATGCATTTTCATATGTTACAAGAATAGTACATACACATCAGATATTTAAGATAAATCAGAAAAAACATGTCATTTGAATCAATAACATGGAATTAGAGTCTTGTTTATCATAATATTATATTGTTGATAAGGAATTACAGGCATGAATGAAGAATATGAAGTTAACATTTTGTTTACCATGATCTTATATTGTTGACAAGGAATTGCGATGAGACAATTGGGGAAAAGAAAAATCATTTATGAAGTCTAACAAAAGTTAATGATAACAGTATATTCTATATTTTAGATTCTAGGGCCCACATTGATCCATGACCTATGTGATATGTGATGGTTTATATCGACATAATGACACCAAGCGTTTGCATGCCACATGTACAAAAATTAAGATCATAAGAGAGAGAGAGAGAGAGAGAGAGAGAGAGAGAGAGAGA